ACCAGGATCACTGACCGCTGGACTAGGCCGAATCGTAATTCACTTAAGTTTATATACCTATCAGTCAATGTATCAGATATATATATATATATATATATATATATATATATATATATATATATATATATATATATATATATATATATATATATATATATAAATACGTTTATTTGTTGCTGCTGTTGCGAGGCGTCGCTTGGCAAACAAGAGCCAAATGACATCCCCAATGCTATATCCGTATTCACTTTGTTCACTCTAAAGCAGTCTGATGTCACTCTGGCTAAGAGAGGGATCGAAAAAAAACATGCGGCAAGCTTCCTGGGTAGTGGATTCGGGTAGTGGATTAGGGATTTGGGTTCCTGGGTAGTGGACTCACAGTTGTGGAAATACAACTGTGTGTTGTATTAGCTACAACTCAGAGGTTACTGGTTTTCCTGTATTTATACAACACATTAAATAGGTTCGAATGGTTAGTTTTTTTTCTCACTCGCTCCTGAGTTCCGAAGCCCGAGCCGTTATAAATACCGGTGACCTTACCTTTCAACATGCGGTGAGAGATGTCACACCGGACCACGCACAATATCTTTTACCTACACCCGTCCATTTCACAACTCAAGTGGCAATTTCACGACCCCATAATCCTAAGTTACTACTTACAACTGGAGGACCGTGTCACTACCTATCTATACCTGCGGTACGAAAATCATTAAAATTGCCACCGGTGAAAAGGACGAGGGCAAGATTGGGTGGTCAGTCCGGTCAGTCTGTGGACCGAGACAGTCCTAAGAGTCTGTCCGAGTGGCTCACAAAAAAAGATCCGCTCCCGAAGCGGCCGCCGTTATACCGCGCTGTGAAAGCGATCACACCCCTGTGCTGAGATTCGGCGCGTGATAGCCCACTGCGTGCCGGACCGGTGGGGATGGGCCGCGCCGGGCCGGAGGTGGCCCGCACACAGACGGAAATGCCAGGCGCTCGGCGCGCCGCGGCGGCAGCGCGCGGTAAAGGAGGCAGGTGTCTTCTCCAGATCGGCAATCGAGGACAAATTATCCGGTGACGGCCAATTTCCACGGGGCCCGCTCGGCGCGGGGCGGGCGGCTCTTCTTTCTAGTTCAAACAGGCGGTCGGTCGGCGTGTTGTGAGGGCGCGGCGGCACACGTGGTGACGATTTTCGGGGCGGCACGTCGTCAGTTAGAGGGTGTTTTACGGCTCCCTGGGTGGCGAGTGAATAAATACGGGACGGCCTGCGAGCCAGAGGAGCGCTGGGTGGGGCGGCGGCATTGTATGATAACAGGAGAGGTGGCCGTTAGGGCCGTTCAATGAGTTAACTAATTGGTGACCGGCTGAGTGTTTTGTATGACGATGTAATTGAGTCGTAATATAGGGCGATTATGGAAGTGCCGAAGGGTATTCAATGCATACCGGAACATCACATTATGGTTGGAGCACGTTTAGAGCCGATATAGCTGAATATATTAGCTTGACATCCTGATACCTTTCGAAATGCGTACCTAATCATTACACGCGGCGAAATGGTTTAAGCCGAACAATAAGTTCTCTTAGCAACACATTTAAACTGACTTCATGTGAAGCATTAATCCTAAATATTTTTCAGAATCTATTTTAAACATCTGCATACCATGTGACGTGATATTTGTGTCACTGATTGTAGCTATTGATTACGCATGGTGTTGCTCCATACGACACGGCATCTTGGAAAACGTTTCTACACACTTGTACTTGGACGTTGAGCATATATTGCACACTCCATGGACAATGGACATCGACACACCCCCGGCACTTATTCCGATGTATGGCTAGGCTATAAATAAAATACATGGCATGCAACTAAAACAACTGCAATGCTATGCAAAAAACACTATGGTCCTACAAAAAATATTGCCACAAAAACTGACTAAATGCCATCCTAGTTGTAAAAAAATCCATTTGTGACTAGAATCAACTACGAAACTCGCAAAAACGATTCTAAATCACACAAATAAGCCTTCCTGTAAGTGCACACAGTGCAGCATTCTCCCTGAATACAAACCAAACACCACACCAAAGCACACAAGACGGCCGAATCTACTATCTAACTAGGTTTAACGGTATACCGAATTCATCAAATGGCTATGAAAGCACATCAAACGCTTTTGCGTAAAACGAATCTAAAGCACACAGTGGCAGGAGCTCGCTCGCTAAGGTCGTTCGAGTGATTCACACGACTGCAAAATAATCGCACTGTATACATGAATCGACGCCCTTCAATATGCCTCGAAAACGGATATCTGTACGACAAACGGCTATCAGATCAGTGCACATGACAACACCATCAAAAAACGCCATGTTAACCGCAGCGGCAGCGGATACATGTGGAAGTCGCATGTCGAATACTGGGACTGTGGGGGCCCGATAGTGGCCGGGGCAGGAAGCGGACAGAGCTGGTGACGTCAGCTGGGGCACGTCACCAACTCCAGCCGTCACTGGGCTGATGGTTTATCGAGCACAGACGTCTCGTGCTCTGTGGTCTGCGGCGCCGCCAGCAGCCGGCGCCGACGGGCGGTGGCGGATATCGGACAGGATACAACCGATCCGGGACCGGCGACCGCCCGGCGCGGAACAGCCAGGCGTAAAGATCGAATCGATTCGGGGTCGCCGAATTTAGCGGACATGCAAAGAGCTATTATTACATATACGATCATAAAACAAGTTTGGTGTACAGTAATTACGCTTCTTCCATCGTGGGAACGACTGAAAGTGGATACAATACACCCGCAACTACACCGTTTTCACAAAGCTCGTTCGGTGGCAATGCTGGCTAGCTGAATATTACGACGATGACTTGTGACTGAACACCAATATCGACGAGAAACTGTGCATAGTTCTGCAATGGCGCTGTTACAGTATCACTACATCATAAGACGCTCCATCCTCCAGCACAGACAGATTATATATCGGTCAAGATCACAACGGAACCTGCGCGGGAGGTAAGTAATCCCACCACTGAGATGGTAGCCGACTATTGTCCGTTTTCTTTTTCTGGAGATTTCTGCGAGCGGAAACCGAAAACACAGCCGCTGGGATCTGATAGCGGCTCCAACACGACTTATCGTGTCTTTGGGAAAACACCGACCGAAACTCGCTAAAACGGGCCCAGATGAGACAACTGTGGAGTCACGCTTTATGTCACTCTAAGCTGCTAAGGGCCAGAAGACGCAGTGAGAGTATGTAGATCTTAACAAGTTCCGGTGGCATTTTCATATTTCAACACAGCCAGAAGTGGAGGTCTGGCTTCATGCCGAGTGTTTATTTTTTTACTGTCTGATTCTTTTCTCTTACCTTGCTATTCAATGCGTTTTTTTATCTTTGATATAATTCATAAAAAGTGTAAATGATTGAATGAGAATTTCAGAGGTCAAGACCACACATTAAGTAGTTTTATAGGTAGCAGCACGAGGCAAATGAGGCGTTCCAAACCAGGTTCGAGCCCAGGTCTACCTTCTATGTAAACGAAACAGTCTTTGAGAGCGGTAAGCACCGAAAAAGTGAAATGTTTACCAAGTAATTAGCAAGTACCTCGGCTGTATCCTCGAAACATGAGACCATAATCTCAAACCTAATCTCATTCAGTTTTTCCCGTCATGTTGTTTGTGGTGTTGATGATATAACCGCCGCACTCCCTGCTAACCAATACGGAGAGCACGGCAGACAGTCCCCTCATCCCTGTGAACCTCGTGACTAGACGGCTCTGGGCACCTCTCGGCGACATCTACAGCTGTTCTGTACACAATACACCTGTCCAGTGTCCACATCAGACTTTCCATCACAAACTCTTTTGACACAAGTTTTGACTGAAACTAACGGGTGGTCAATATGAAACTGGACAAAGTTTGAATTGTTACTGTGTCGAAAGTTTTCAAGCGAAAGCAACGAAAATCGCGTTACCGTGCCATTATTTTGTTGTGATCATGCTCGCCCTAATGGATTTGCAACACTGGACCTCTGTCAGCCTCCAAGCGCACGCGCGCTGGCAGCCCCGCTATTTTCTTTCGCGGCACCTCCGGGTCGATTTGACGGATGGCCTGCTGGATTATCCGCTTCAATTGTGCGTCTCAGTTGACCTGTCACCTTCCCTTAAACACTTTCTGTTTGATGAGCCCCACAGATCCTCAATGGGCTAAATCTGAGGGGTACATGGCGGGTTCGTGTCACGTGCTGTTTCGGGCACCCCAGCCTCCTCAAAAAGTTTCGTGTTCTAGCGCGCGTATTGTGACTGTTGCAAGGTCGGAACCTAACAGAGCATCATGCTCTGTGTTCTGAGACTCAAGAAGTGGTAACAATACGCCATTCAAACACTTTTCATAGCACAGTTCGCCCTTTACATTGCCTGTGCTCGGCAAGTAACTGGACGCGTGAGCCCCTCGGACTCATAGCAAGCCAGACGGGTATTTCGGGTGGATACTCGCTCTCAGGTCGAAAGCGAAGGTGCGATCCACATGTGGAATAGTCTCTACACCAGATGAGGTGTAAAATTCGCCAATGGAAGGCATTTGGCCGCCACTGCAGGTGAAATAAGATTCATCGTCCATATGCACCTCCATGTTTTTGCTACCCTGCATTGGACCCTGTGACAGACGGCGCAGGCGGATTTTCTGTGTACGAAATTGTGCCTCCGTCACCTTTATACTATTTTTGTACCTGATTCCTGCTTGTTGACACATTAATTGGTCATATGTTTTGAAGATTCCAAAATTTCTTCCCAGAGATCACAAGGAGAGCCCCAACTGTTCGGTGACGGCACCTGTTTGTTTCTTCCGGTGCTGAATGCGCCTTTTCTTGGTGATCTTGCCGTTCCCACCATGCAAAACATCTGCAAGTCCTCAGAATTTATCGATGATCACATATTCTTAAGATCTGGTTACACCCTATGGCGTAATGTGACGCATAATGATAGCACTTTTGTAATTTGTGTTATTTTCACAAAGTTGCGCGAACAGGTCCCGGAACGCTTGCTGACTTACCGGCGCAATGTTTTTTACTAGTTAATAGCAGAAAGTTGAAATCTGAGCTGGTAATATAGAATAACTGGAAGTATTCACCAGCCAAAAATAATTAAAATCTGTCCATAATTGGAGATGCTATGCTTAATCAAATTTTGTCCAGTTTCATACTGACCACCCGTTAGTTCTTTCGTGACGTAGTTTTCAACACCCTCCTCATGCCTCTCCCGAGCGTCGTTCTCACGCAACGGCCACCAGTGACGTCACCGGAGGCTGCTGATGACGTCAGCGGCGTCTAGACGAACATGGAGCGGTACTCGTGGGGCAGAGCGCCGCGCCGCGGGAAGAACACATGCGAGGGGTGGAGGTCGAGCAGGTTGGAGATGCTCGACGTGTACAGGTCGCAGAAGTGGAAGAGCCGCCGGGAGAAGTAGCTGGGGTTGTGGTGCGTACGGAACAGGCTGCCGAACTGGTGGTTGAAGATGGTCTTGGTGTACAGTCTGAGGGGGAGAGCGTCGGTGAGTTAGTGGAGGTTGTTTTTGAGGGTAAACGTAGTCTCATTGACGAAACAAGGGAAATTATAGATAAAAAAACATAACATCGAACGCAAGGAATAAACTGGCAGCAAAATGATGCTAATCTTGCATTGTTCCTCAGCCAAATCAATGCTACCAGTATAACGCCTTTTGGGGCGACTAACGGAGCGAGCGAGAGGGTGGGCCTTGCACGTGCGAAATTTCGAGGGGGTACCTCCAACTGACTTATGCACGGCACCCTACTAACCGGTCTCTAGCGGTGTGCCAAATTTGAGCACAATCAGCCCAGCCGTTCTCGAGATCTGGAAGCGGCAGCCTGCACGTGCGCACATGCAAAATGGGTCCCAACTGGCTTTTGCTCGGCACCCTACTAACCGGTCCCTAACCGCGTACCAAATTTGAGCGCAATCGGTCCAGCCGTTCTCGAGATCTGGAAACGACCCCTGCACGTGCGCACGTGCAGCAGCACCCCCAACTCTGGCACATGGGTATGCATTGCCTAGTGGGTGCCTACCTTCATGCCAACTTTCAGCGCAATCGGCCAAGTAGTTACCGAGATATTGCAACTATTACAAAACTGACACCTCTTCGTTTTGCACGTGGCACGTGCATAAGGGGTCACCCACATGCATCGGGAATAGTCCAATACTTGGTAGAAGGAATGAAGCTACCCTACAAAAATTATCGCATGTAAATCGGTCAAGTGGTTGCTGAGATATAAGCCTCGCAAAAGCGTCCGCACGGCCGGCCGCTCATACTCGGAAATTTCCGTTAATCTAAGGAAAGACTCCGCTCGCTTCGCTCGCTCCGTAACTAATCTTTACGCACACCTGATCAGTTTTGACTCACCCCATCAAAAAGCAGTAAGCCATACATTTTTCAAAGTGCACGTCTGAGTTCCTTAGTCTTTCAGCACCATACCGATTACCGATTCAATACCAACCAACCGACCACAGCCCTGACCTCGACGACCAACTAGCTTCACTATCAAGACATAATGAACATCAAATGGCCATGGACACAAATATCGCCGACAGGAGGCATTTCCGGTGCATCGAGCTCCCAATCCCAGCTCTCACGCACTATCCTCCCACTACCAGTGCTGCCCTCTGTCTTGAGTATCAGGCGCCCGCTTCCACCCACCCACAGCCCTGCGATTAGAGTCTACCGATCGCGCTCAAGCTCGAGATGGGTCGTCACGATTAGACGTAATTCTTCACGGTTAGAAAACGTCCCTCGATAAAACACTGCAAACTCGTAGTTCACGTATGTAGTAGTATCATTACTGCTGGTCAACTCTTCACGATTACTGTCAAGCCGTTCTGATAAGCTCCCACCCTGATTAGGAACCCCCCCCCCCACGATACGAGTGAGCCCTCCCAGCCACCTCTCAGCCTTACCAGTACTCAGTCCCACTCCCACCTGTCGACATCCCTCCCCTCCCGATCCCCTCCTGCCCGTCTCTCGGCCCTGCCCCGCCCGTCTCTCACCTAAGTTGATCGCGCTCGGCCTCCCACCGCTCCAGCACGACCCTGTTCTCGGGTCGGCGCAGCTCGTTCTGTTCGCCCTCAATCAGCTGCTGTAGCTGTTGCAGCCAGTTGCTGTTCTCCTTGTACTCCGGACGGTTCAGGATGCTGATCTCGTGCTGACGGAGACGCACAGTGGAAAGGGTTAATGGCGAACAGAGCATTTACAACAGACAAATCACATGAGACAGAAAAAGCACGTTTCACAGGTAACGTATTAGAGAGTGGTTAACTTTGGTCGTAAGTTAACTAGGTTAACTTAGTAAACTTCAGACAGTCACGTATCTTTGCAGCGGTCAACATCTCTGCTACTCCTGTCGCAATCTCGCCCCGATTTCCGTCCCGCCGCACAAAGCCGACTTTCTCGAGTGTCGCCGGGCGGGCGGTGTGTTTGATCCTCGGCCCGTCCGCTGTATGGGTCGGCACGCAGTCCCGCACCCACCCGCACCCCGCACCCCGGCACGGCGTGGGTGCGGGTCAGACCCCCAGGGGGGGGGGGGGGCTGACACCACAGAGACGCTCTGCCCACTGCAGTACATTCCACACCCGAGCTTAGCACCGCGGCTCAGCATTCAGCAGCCTCACCCACACAGAGGCAGAGACAGAGTTCAAAGGCGGGTTACTGACAAAAGCCAGGTTACCGACATACTGTGGAGTTACGACAGAACAGACGGCGGAATATGTGCTCCCGGGAAACCAGATTCAGCGCAAAATGTCCACCGTTATTTTCTTTGGAATAAAAGGAGCTGTCATCCTTGCAACAGCTTACCTCACATTCTTCGGACCATTAAAATCAAATGACCCGACCTCTGACAATAACTGACAAACGTTTGCCTGACAATATCCAACTCAAAACGGCCAGTTAGTTATTCCCTCACCAATAATCCACTAATCGGTTCCACCATAGACGGCCTACTTCTGAAACACACTTATTACTTACACTGTCTAGTGTCGTTCGCAGAAGCACAAGGGCTAGCTTTCACACTTTCCCTACACCAGGGAGCTAAAATAACGACCTCCTAAACTCACATCCAGTTCCCAGAGAATGGCGCCGGTCCTCCATCCGTGGTGGAGCCGCACGTCGGCCAGATCAGTGTAGGGGTGGTCGCCGAAATACAGCACGTTCCCGCCCGCCCAGCCAGTCAGCTGCTGCAGCTGACGCACGTTACCCTGGCAACGGGGAGACAGCGCCAGTTACCAACCAGTTACCATGGTGATAGAGGAACAGACGGCGCCTGAGCAACGGTCAGAGAAACGGAATTGCGAATGGGAGGCGAACTAAACGCACTAAAACGCACTAAACGCATAGGTGATACAGATGAGGGCAGATGAGGTGCGTTTCGTTGGCAGCAGAGATCAAAAGTTAACTTGGTTATAGAAGCACCAGTGACTGTAGCGACAGAAAGCTGACACAATACAATGTATTCATTATCTTTGGGAGGAATGTGATATGAGCAATGAGTATATACAAGCATAAAGCCTAAAAATCAGCGCCTTAAACGACAAAACTCCACACCGGCGCGGTTCCTACCTCACAGTAAACTTCTCCCTTTTCAATCTTGGTAACCTGGCTCCAAGTCTTCGACTTTGTCTCCAGATCATATCGCCTTAGCGGAGACGACCACTGGGTGAAAAACTTTGGTTTCTTTGCCTCGACAATCACAAGATCAAAGCGATCCCTCCAATCATCCCCGACCAGAAAATTCATGCCTCGATTTCTGTAACAAAACACACACAAAAACCACGTGTGAAAAAGGACGCCACACAAAACACGCGCGTCAAAAGTCGGACCGGAAGCCTATTCAAAGGGCGGCGGGTGACCAAGCACGACTGCCCAGCAGGGGTGACCATTTGATAGGCATAGAGAGTATGCATTCCGCGCGTGCCGGGCATAGCGGGCGCGCCTCGAGTGGCGGCTGGTTCGAACGGAGGCGGGCCGGCCATCATAAAGGGCCTTTGGTGATGCGCCGGCCGGCCATCCGTCTGTATTAGAAGCGACGAGTGAGGTGCCCGCGCCACACGAGGCATTTCCTGTCACACGGCGGCGGCGCGACGGAAAATAGCTCCGGTAGTTACACTGTGCGCCGGTAGGTGGCAGCGCCGGCACACGCACACAGGTATCAATGGCCCATTCATTCACACACATCGATCAAACACACAGCACACTGCTTCGATTCTTTGCCAAACAAATACAAACTACAGTATAGTAAACGTTATCTCCAATCACTATATAACGGTTCATGAGGGGACAATGGGCCCCAGAACCGTGAACGGGTCTAGGAGGAAAACCTTAAACGACTTCCTTCTATCCTTATGCTTCACCTTGATAAATCAGGAAAAGAAAGCAAATTGTTTTGCGGCGTTCTTGCAAGAAATTAATCATAATTGATTAATTAACGCAAAAACAGCAAGAAATTATTCCGCCGAATTTGAATGTCGTCATCAATTTGGCTAGTCTGGATGTGCTCGGCGAAAAAAAAATCAGCGTTGCAAAATATCATCGAGAGCAGGCCGTCAGTGAAGGCCCCTTCCCCCCTCCAGCGACTTACACAAAGTCGAACGGGCTGTTGGTGACGAGGAACAGCCTCCTGCCGTGGTGCACCAGTCGGTCCAGGTAGCGCACCAGGTCGGGGCTCTCCTCCATGTAGTAGGCCGGGTCGCGGCCCACAATCCCGTGCATCAGAGGGTGGATGCTGCCAATGGCGTTCTGACGGGACAGAGGTGAGGGGGCACGGGTCAGTTGGTGGGTGGTGGGGTCAGATGGTATGTCAGGAATGGGTTTTTCAAAAGGGTAATTCAGACACGATTCTTGTTCTTTATTTTTGTACCAAAAAACATTTGCTGACGCAAACGACAGTTGTGAACGAAAGCGAAGAAGGTTTGATAAAAAAACGAGCTGATACAGGAATTAAGCGAAAGGTTAAAAATTTAACGATCAATCAAAACTACAATCAGAATTACCCTGCAGAATTATCCCGCACCTTTTCTTTTCCATGACAACTTCACTTAACTTTTACGGGCTCTTAACCAGCTGACGCCACGATCTGATATCACTCACCCTAACGTCAGTGAAGAGGACGGCCGGCTGGAAGTCAATGTTCTGCTGGATGAAGAGGTCGGTGACCTGGCACATGAGACACATCTCGGGCAGCGAGAACAGGTCAGCCAGCTGAACCATCCGCGCCTCCTGTCGTCAGAGGGCATATGGGGTCATATAGAGGTCAGTGAGAGGTCAGCTAGAGCAGAGGGGTCAGAAAGAGGTTAAATAAGGTCTGAGAGGGTCAAAGAGGGGTCGGGGAGGGGTCTCAGAATGAACGCCATTGAGTACATTTCGGGCAGGGACGGTTGACTAGATGATACCTCTAGGTTTCTTGCGGGGGTCGGCCAGATATTTCAGATCGTCTAGGGAATTCTCGGGCTTTTTGACTTGCCGATGAGAATAGAATTCAACATCGCTCAATGCAGATTAATCAAAAGACCTTTTTCCGTTTTATTTCTACGCGCATGAATTGAGCTATTTGCTTCACAAGACGCACGAAAAGCGATAGCAATCGCGAAAAGGGAAATGTTGATCTACAGGGTGTAACGAAATTATCCGGACATCTATTTTTTCGCCATATCTGCTCGCACAGTTTCTTTTTTAATGTTAGAAGCTGGAAAATTGGATGAATGCATACCTCTGGTATCTGCTCTCAACTCAGCAGTGACCTGACCTTGCGAAATGACTCTTGCTCTGAGTAAGAGTCGAGTCGCCGACGGGTTCATTTGATAGTTTTCGTTTAAGGCAGTGGAGAGAAGGGAGTACAGTCTCTCGTTTCGTAGTAAGGCTACGTGTTCGTGGCATGGTGGCATGAGCCAGAAGCTGGTCTGTCAGCAGCTGGACATCAGCAGCAGCCAGTAGCACATCTGCCTGAGGCGTAATAAGCTTGGACTTGGTGGCAGACTCAGCCCGGCCTCGATCGCAAAAGGCGCCCTTTGCCAAGTGGTGAGGAGAGTTGTCAGGATAGCGACAAGGAAACGGCACCAATTAATTCGCAAACTGACTCGAATTCTTACCAAGGCAGATAATAAGAGGTCCCATATCATGATTCACCGTCACCCGCCCTTTAGCTTGGTTTTACTGCCCTTCAAACTGAAAAAGACAATGAAATTGACGGGAAAACAACCAGTCCACCACCTTTGGCCTCAGGCCATGGCGTGTCCATTGGTCGAAGGAAGACATGAATGAGGTGGCCTGGTCGGATGGGACGCTGTTCGAGCTGCGATGTCCGTTGAACCGTCAAATCGGCCATGTGTGGGCTGCCAGCAGCTCGAACATGCCGGCCGTCGCCGGCGTCAAACATCCGGCCAAAATCCAGACCTGGAGCATGTTCAGCTGCTGTGCAATATTCAAGTTGTTCATGACGCCACAGAAAACCACTATCAGTAATGAGTATTACCGGCGCAACATCCTGGCTAGCGATTGGTTGGAGCCACTCAGCCAGACGGCACAGGAGGGCTCGGTTTCTGAACGCGTGCTGATGCCTGATTCAAGCCGCGCAGTCTTCATGCGGGGCGGCGCACCACCTTCAAGTCCCTAGCAGAATGAGAAGTGATGCCGAGAGGACCTATTGTTCATCTGGGCTAACGGGCTATGGCTTGGAAAAAGTTCCCATCCCAATTCCATCGATATCTTATGGACTATTGTCCAGCAGGAGATGAATGAGGGGACACCCACCACCAGCGCCGCCCAACTGTGGGCACAGGTTAGTAAGGCGCTGCTCTACATGAAACCCACTGTGCTGGAAAACCCAGTGGCTGGAATGCTCCGAAAATTTGTACCTGCGCTCTTATGAAAGGTGGCTATATATGTAATAATTCAAAAGAGAAAATATCAGATTGTTTTGCTTCTTAATTACAGCGCGAAGAAAGATGTCCGGATAATTTCGTTACACCCTGTACATATCCTCCAGTTTGAATTCCGCCAAAGACCTCAAGCGCCTAGTACCTTGAACCACTCCATCGATTCTGCTACATCACCAGCAATTTGTCTGTGACGCCTAGTGCCAGTGAAGCAATGGTAAATTTCGCTGTCCGCTTCAGGTTCGGACTCAGTCGAAAATTGTACAAATGTCCAAACATATCACCCCAACTTTAATACGGCATCTCTCAGCCAGTTTACCCTCTGACTCAGATTCAGGTTCAGATTTATTTGGCGAAAGATCCACATCGCCACATATGGTTTTTCACAGTGGCACGTCAGCAAATTTAACCTTCCAGGCGGTGGGGGGGCATTTTTTTGCCCCCCCCTTTAGTTTTTTCAATATATCTCGAGAACCGCTGCGCCGATCGTCACCAAACTTTCCGTACCCTCCCGGGAGCAGCTAGCGCACATGGTGACCAAAAATTTTTCCAAAGGCTATGATAGGTTGGCCGCTAATGACGTGAGAGTGACGTCATTTTTGCCATTTTCGACCCAAAAAAAGGTTTCGCGGGAAGAGCTGTCAGACCTACAGCTTTAGAGATACAGAAAAATGTTTCAGACATAAAATGTGTGGAATCAAAAGGGCTACAAAACTGCTATTTCGGTTTTTCGAATTTTTGGATTTTGACCCCCAAAAATAAAAAAATAGATTTTTTGAATATAATAGCCAAAAAAATCCAAAAAGTTTTTTGAATTTCGAAAAAAACGGAATATATGTGATAGTCCCTACCGCCTTCTATCTACATACCAAATTTGAGATCGATACCTCTTTTTTTGGCCAAGTTATAGCGAAAAAAACCGTTCAAAATTGATGACGTCAAATTTTCAAACTCAATTTTTAGCAATTCTAGACCTTGTAGCGCAAAAAAAAGACCACCATTAGACTCCCCGTGACGAGCTGCATCGAATCGATACCCATTTTATGCAAAAATATCAACTTTGAAATTTGACCTTTTTTGACCTGACCTTGACCTGACCTCCACCAGAAAGTGACCTAAACCGTACCTGATGGTCTTATAACCAACACCATTGAGTTGGAAATGAAAAACTGGCCATAAAACATGCATCGCATAACCTTAGTAAAGTTGGGCTCATGTGGTGACCCTTGGTGACCTTTGGTGACCTGTCCTGTGACCTGACCTGGTATGACCAGTGACCTCTAATAGCAACATATGTACTAGACAACTGACGCCTTATCGCTGATTTTCGACAAAATGCGTTTTACTCGGTGTTATAGCGCTTTCCCTAGAAGCCCCGTGAACGGTGAAACATTTGATCTTTGACCTGACCTGTGACGTCATCGGTGACCCCGAGGTCAATGAAATTTGGTTTCCCTCCACAAATTTGACAGGGCTATCGAACGCCGTTTGAATTTTCCGGATCTGTCCAGTAGTTTCGGAGATACGGGGGGGGGCAAAAAAATGCCCCCCCCCCCCCCACCGCGCGGAAGGTGGCTGGTAGGCCCACCGCCTGCCGGGTTAAGGTCTAAAAACTCTGTCGAACGACTGTGACAACCGCGGAGGGATACCGCACCGGGCTGGCCGGCCAGCCACACCGCACACCATCAGAACCATCAGAAGGTCTCCCGAGCTGAGGTCATCGGGACGGTATCGAGGCGGTAACTGGGCGGTAGGAGGGCGGTAACTGGGCGGTAAGGGGGCGGTAACTGGGCGGTAAGGGGGCGGTAAGAGGTCAGTATCGGGGCAGTATAAGGCGGTAACGGGGCGGTAAGGGCGGTAAGAGGGCGGTAGTAGAGCGGTGAACGAAGGACAGAGTATGTAGGGTACGACTACGGACGGCCGTTACAGGGCGACAACGGGATTAGTTACAGGGTTAGTCATGGGACGAAGTAAGGGCAATGACAGTAGGGAGTGAGTGGGGCGGTTATCAGGGAAGATCGCCCGCCTTTAAATTAGCGTCGGTGACCACCGTCGCCGCAGCGAGCAGCCCCCCCCCCCCCCCCGGTGACAGATTAGCCCGGCCGACCACCCCCACCGCTGACACTCTCTGTCCCTCCCCTAGTCCCTGGCCCACCCATCCCGCCGACCGGCCGACCAGTCGGCGGTCCCCTGCGGGGGACGGGGTGGGCGGTCCTCGCGCAGTGGCCGCCCACCCGGTAGAACCGCACTCGACCACCCGTGGCCACACATTGTCCTTGCCACCCAATTCAGCATGCGGTCGCGTTACGTCTAGCAGTGCACTGAGATAACTCACCATGTCTTGTCGATCCTGCTTATGGCAAGCCGCAAGGTGGAATGAAGGAAGGCAAAGATCAAGATCAGTCAAATAAATTCACCCCCTCCACTTTCTGAGGGGAGGCTAATGTGATCGGAAATTAACGTTAGTTCCTCGTCATTATCCAGTTGAAGCGGGATACATCGGCAAACTACACAGCAGGTCACAGGCGGCCCCAGTGCAGTACGTGAGACTTCGTATCTCTTGACTGCCGACAGGAGCGAGAGGAGAAGAGGGAGGGAAGAGGAGAAAGGAGGGGAGGGAGAGTGGTGACGGAGCGATAACAGGGGAGGGGGCGGTGCAAAGGCCCATGGACCAATCACGTTCGACGGTGGGAGTAAAATGGCGCCCCGGACCGGCGGAGGGACATGAGAGGTCCGTCCAGGGAGGGGCGCCGACGAGACGAGGGGAGTACAGCGACGGCGAGAGGATGGAGAGAAGACGGGATGGAAAGAAACTAGAAATAGTTGGTCGATAAGGATAGAGCAGAGGGTAAAGAGTGTTGACACCGATGACTGCTTGCTAGTTAAGGAAAGCTAAAACCTTACGCATCTAATAAGGGCTCTAAGAGGCAGAATAGCAGCAGGGAAGTCATATATGTAAATTGTAAGTGACTTCACGAATGATTACCAAACCAAACAATTTTAAAGACTTCTCACTACCGAAAATCGCGCCAACCTTCATCTTCCACTACATCCATCAATCCACGGCGTCCATCGTATAGCTATTTAGTCAGAATCCATATACTGTGACCGTGCCCGTGTACCCAGCCAGGTCACTCAGCAGTCGACCCGGTCAGGTCATTCAGCTGTCAGCCCGATCAGTCGACCGGTCGACACGGCCAGGTGACTCATAGGTCACCAGTCAGGTCACTCACAGGTCGATCCGACCCGGCCAGGTCAGGTTAGGTAAGGTCACTCACAGGTCGCCCCGACCCATTCAGGTCAGGTCACTCACAGGTCGATCGCCGGTCGACCCGGCCAGGTCACTCTGGTAGACCCGGTCAGGTCATTCAGCTGTCGGCCCGATTAGTCGACCGGTCGACACGGCCAGGTGACTCACTAGTCGGCCCGGTCAGGTCACTCACAGGTCGACCCGACCCGGTCAGGTCAGGTCAGGTCACTCACAGGTCGACCCGACCCGGTCAGGTCAGGTCAGGGTCACTCACCGGTCTGCCCGGCGGCGGCTCGATGTAGTTGATGGGAAGCACCGTCGAGCCGTACAGCTCCATGACCTCTGCATCGGACACCTTGGACAGACCCCTGTCGGACAGAGAGGAATAAACAATCAGGCACTGCGCTGGGCACCAATCACATCTCAATGAGGGAGGGGTATACTATCAGAACGGTCACCAATGCTCAGGATATGCCGTGTCCTGCTTGATTGTTTTAACAAATTAAGTTAAAACAATCATATTTGTCTTGTATATTTCTCATGAGCTCGCCGATCGTGGGAGGGGGGCCTCTAAACATGTCAGCCTCTACCACGGCCCAGTCCGGGGCGCATTCGTAAGTTCGTTTGCCTGGAAACCGGCCGCGTCTCAATAAGGTCTCGTAAGTCAGTTCTCGGTCAAGTTATAATGCCTAATTTGCTAGAACTGCCGATACCTGTGGTTTGGTTTCAACTTTCAACCCCTACTACCTAATCAATAATCATGTAACCAATGCAGATACTTGTAAAGCCAAATCATGGATTTCATCCGTCTCTTCATGCCTCAACTAGACAAAATTAGATCAAAGGCGAAAAAGCGCCGAAAACGTTATTCCAAACGACCTATCGTCACTTAATTCAGTGTATGTAGTCCATCGGAAGGCAGAACCATCACATCAAAAAGCCATAGTACGGCAGAATCGCTCGATCGACACGTTACCAGCCCATTAGCACCCGTGGAAAGCTTCACCAAACAGACTTGGAAGTCAACACAGCATGGCGACGACATTCGCGTATTGGGCTGCTGACCACCCCATGTGTTCAAACAACACCCGACGCCGGTCTCCCGTTGATCGACAAAAGCAGCGACTCGTCGTTCATCATAGGCGCGAGTAGCGACGCTGCACCTACAAAAGGTCACAGTCCGCAAACACGAAGAACCGTGAGGGCATTCAAACAAGTTATTGTTGCGGGCGGAACATATCGACAGAAAGACCGGCAATATCGACGGAAAGACAGTGGCAATGGGGTCTCTCTTGTAGACATGGGATGGTGCATGAAGATCGCCCAAGGTCTGTTGACAGTCGGTGCATATGCTAGCGGCCTGTCGAGTCAACACCAGACAGTACCGATGGTGTTTGTGTGCTCAATACCGACCACTGGCCGCCCGCCGTCCCAGAGTCCTCAGTGCGGGCGGGCCGTCCGAACCAGTCCTCCGTCCCCTCCCCGGGAGTCCCAGACAGCCTGACGTCCCTGCCACTCTCCGCCACCACCATGGTTGTCTCGGCGAGCGGTGGTGTTGTGGTGCACCGCACCGTCATCTCCGGTGGCCCGCCCGATGAGCTGATGCCGCCGCAGCAGCGGGCTGGTGCCGGAGGACCGTGGTCCGGCCCGGCGCGGGTCTTCCTGGCACTGCTGCGGGCCGCCGGCGCCTCGGGCCGCTCCGGCTGGTGCCCCGCTCTGTACGCCACCCTCGTCTACGGCATGTTCAGTGTGGCGTCCTTCATGGCCGTCCGCACACACATTCAGCATGGTGCGGCTGTTCGGGAGCAAACGGGCAGTCTTCTGACGGCCGCCGTCGACTCGGGGTTCTTTGGCGTAATGCCGGTGCTAGCCTGGGCCACGGTGACGGCCACGTTCGTGCGCGGCCGCGCCCGGTACGGCCGGCTGATCGCCCGCCTGACAGGGGTACTCACCGACACCGAGCGGCTGCTGCCGAGCGGCGGCCGCGCAGGACCCGACCTACCCGCCTGGGGAGCCTGGTTCGTGGCCATTGTCTACACGGCAGCCACCATCATCATCGGCATCCTGACCCTTCCGTGGCCGTGTCATACACTGAACTTCGGCTGCATGCTGATGGTGGCGATGATGTCGATCATCACCCTGACGCTCCTGGCCTTCATCCTGGTACCGCTGAAGTTTGTGTTCGCCTGTCAGAAGATCGCCGCCGGCCTGCAGAAGATCGAGGAGTCCCTCTCCGCCCTGCTCTCAGGCCGAGAGGCCGACCTTCGGCACCTGGAGCGGCTGGGCCAGCTGCAGACGCGGCTCTCCGAGTGCCTCCAGCAGCTGACTGAGGACATGGCTCCCGAGCTGCTGCTAGCCACCACGTACGCCGTGCTCTCCCACATCACCGTGATGCTGATGCTGCTGCGCTACGTCAGCCCCGAGATGCGGCACTACAACGGTGTCATCAACTGCGTGTTGATGCTGTTCACCAACGTGACGACTCTGGCGGGTCCGTGCGAGGCCAGCCAGCAGCTGGTGTCGGCCGCCGGCCGGCGCTGGGCGCTGCTGCTCAGTCTGGAGCGCCGCCACCCGGCGCTGGCCGCCGAGGCCGGTCTGCAGCGCGAGGAGGCCGGCCGCCAGCTGGAGACGGTCGGCGAACTGGGCCTGTTCCGACTGCGCCGCTCCACCCTGCTCAGCCTCGTCTCTACCGTGCTCACCTACATCATCGTGGTGGCGCAGTTCCAGTCGGCCGAGAACCCCACGGCCTCCGCCGCCGCCAACAGCACCGCGAGCCGGAGGTAGGGACAGCTGGAGCCGGGACCGACCCTTCAACACTCGACGGCACTGGAAGCACTGAGGGGCAGCAGGCGCCGGAACCGACCACAGCACTGCAGTCCGGCCTCCGGGGTTAGGCCGTAGGGACAGCAGGCGCCGGGTCTCACCGGGACTGATGAGCCGGGATCGACTCGCCGCCTGCAGCCCAGAGCGGCATTGAGCGGAAGATATGCCTATACGATTGCGCTGTTTTGTTATCCGATACGTGTTCAATGTTAACCTACCTACCAAGTACCAATTAAAATGTTGGCTCACTTTTACCTACCTAGCTAGTGACCTACTACTTATAACTACATAGGTTTTGTTATCGCGTAGGTATGGTTGCTTTCTTGATTTGTCCATAAAGAACACAGAAGCCGAGAGCCCAGCTGTGTATCTTGAAGAATCTTGGCTCTGCGGAGAGCTGCAGTCTAGCTAGAGGTGGCAAAGGTGAAAATTTTGGGAACCAGACTCGAACCAGACCCGACTGGACATTTCTGGAACCAGTCGGACCCGGTCTAAGTTGGAATCGGAGCCAGTTGGACCCGTTCCCAAAAGTCAAATAATGCAAATTATTTGTAGGTATCATTAGTTGCATCATGTAAAACACGGCTATATCCCACTGGGAATACTTATTTACAATCACCGTGGGAATACCCATAACTCATAAGCTAGCTACAGTGTGGCGTGCAAAGAAACATAGGTACCTAAACGAGCAAATGTTTTCTTTCCATTCACTTTACATTTTGTAATCATGTGTAGTGTGCAAGATGTATGGTTTATGGTAGGACCCGGTTGGACCCGTCATAATCAGAGGTGGAGATCTCGGGGGGTTGGGGGGGGGGTCAGGACCCCCCCCCCCCCCCTGAAAACGAATTACTGCTATGTAAGTCAATGGTACTGCATCCAGCCCGCCTCCATCTGCCCGGCCTGGACCCCCCCCCCCCCCCTGAAATTTTGACAGATCTTCACCCCTGGTCAGAATATTTCCATGAGCCGGGTTCTCGGGTCCACATTTTGCCACCTCAGCCACCTCTACTGCAGTGTTCGCCATGGGCCGGGCCAGCCCAATGGGCCATGGGCTGGGCTGGGCTACGGGCTGGGCTGGGCCCTAAAATATGAAGGATCGATGGGCTGTGGATGGGCTGGGCCAAAAAATGTAAAGTGGAGTCAGGGGTTACATAGTCAGGTTATACATAGCTTATTACTGTGGAAGACTCAAAAACGAGTTAATAAAGCACGCATGCAATGTCCATTGTGCATGCTGCTCGCAAAAGATTTTTTTTTTTGCTACATTTGGATACCTATGTGTAGTCAATAGTTTTTAAATCCATTCATTTTTGACGGGCTGGGCCGGGCTGGCCTTTGACACTTTTACCATGAATGGGCTCGGGCTGGGCCGGGCTGTGAACCCATGGGCCTGGGCTGGGCTGGGCTGGGATTTTGCGGCCCGTGGCGAACACTGCTCTACTGCAGTCACATCAGTTAGGTATTCTGTGATAACACACACTATTCGTGCCACCCCACCTCATTCCTCTGGTAGCTCAGTTGGTAGAGCGGTGGACTGTAGCAGTATTAGTCAGACATCCATAGGTCGCTGGTTCAAATCCGGCCCGGAGGACGTTTTGAAAATTTATTTGAGAACTCAGAGCTCCCACACACGTTCCAGAACCTTGCGCAGAGGCCGACGCCGCTCATTCTTTTAAACTACTGGAACACAAACGATTGCTGAAATCGCCAGTCCAAAGCAGATCCACAGAGATAAGCATACAAATTAGGTAATTTGAGCCGACTGGTCATGTAAGGACGACGAAAAACGCTTTACACATACAAAAGCACAAACACCTACCACAAACACGTCAAGGCTAAGTTTATCAACAAATCTAAAACATTATCAAAGTTTCTACAACAGCTTATCATCTCTCATGCCCGTCAGGGAGCCCCTGGTCTCTGACCTCACGATGTCGCCTAGTGCGGAGCTTGCCATGCTACAGAGGTCACTGTAGTACCACTCGTCGCGACTCGCTCCGATATAGAGGTCGCTGCAATAGGATATCAGCCGGGGCAAGTCGCAATCCTGTGGAGTGGATTGATTGCGACAGAGGTCATTGGGAACCCATGCCAGTGCGCCGTTTATTTTTACTAGAGCTGTCTACATCAATCACAGGGAGGCGAAAGCGGCCACACAGTGACACTGAGACAATTCAGCGCCAGCGGGGCCGGGGGCCGGCGTCTACTTGACCGGCGCGTCTGCGGAGCGCTCCTCAGCGTGGTACGCCTCGGCCAGCCGGCGGACGGCCGGCTGCTCGCAGTAGTAGCACTCCATGCGGCTCTCGGCGGTGGCCGAGCGACATGCGAATCCCGCGTAGAACCGCACGGCCGGCTCGTTCCAGGCGTACACGTTGAAGTCGATGTGCGGCGCGCCGAGACGGACGCCGGCGGCGGCGACGGCCTGCAGCAGGCGGCGGCCGACGCCACGCCGGCGCAGCGCCGGGTTCACGTACAGGTCGGTCATGTAGAGACATTTACCGATACCGTCGTAGCCGGCCCAGGACACGGTGAATATGGCGTGGCCTACCAGCCGGCCGGCGCGCTCGGCGACCACACAGCGGAACGACGGCGGATGAGAGCCGAACGCCTCGCGTGTCAGGTCGGCGGCGCTCAGCTGCGGCAGCGTCATGTCCCTGCCCTCCAGCTGGTTGATGGCGTACAGCAGGTCCACCAGCTGCTCACAGTCGGAGACGGCCAGCGGACGGATGGCGATGGGCGGCTCGTCGGAGAGGGAGTTTTCTGACTGATGAGTGGTGGATGAGGTCCCAGAGGCGCCGTGCCCATTGCTGGTCCCGTGTCCATTGCTTGTCTCGGAAGCAGCAATGTCGACAGTGACAGGGGTGGAGACGCTCTCAGAGGACGGTGCGCCGCTGAACGCAGCCATGCCATCTGTGACAGGTGCGTCTTTGTTTGTAACAGGTGCGGCACTTTCCGCCATATCGGAGGAAAACGCTGCTGGTTGACGCCGCTGGGTTTAGGCGAAATTGAAATGAAGCACAAGCTGACTACCAGCGACGCGACGTTTCAACTTCCAACAGCACACCACCACAATGACTTTGACCACCACTGCACTGGCCGACCGTGTATGGATCACCACAGCGACTCAAGTCTGCTTATCGATTCCTGTGATGACTTACAAGTTACAAATGGCGCGATTGGCTGACCCCCAGCCAGCTGATGAAACACGCCCGCACTGCTGGCTGCTGGGTGTGGCTCTAATGTGACATCTCTGGTCCGACGGTAAAATTTGATAACGTCGACAGAGCTTTAACTCTTTTCTCGGCGTCTTGTTTTGTCCACCAGTGAGCACTAAAACATCTGAGGTGAAATTTTCAATCACTGTAACTGTCCGGTCCGTCCATAAACAAAGCACAACTTCGAAATATGATTACTTGACTTCTCAACGATGACAGGTCCGACTTGATCCTTGATCCGGCTGTGGTAAATCCGACTCTCTGCGACTCCGACTCCCAGCTTCAGCTGCTCCTCGGTTCCACGCAGTCCACTGTCCACCGCCACAGTCTGATCTATTCGGAACTCTCGCAGTAAAGCAGCAGCCCACGTGGCACTGAGATCTCGCAGTAAATGTATAGCACAGCGACTGACGCGGCAGTAGCACGGTAACTGCGCCCGTTAGAGATCAGTCGGTCGGTCGCGTCGGTCATGCCCCCCCCCCCCCGCCCCGACCTTGACTAACCCCCGCCTCATCTGACGCGCCTTGGAAGGACGCCATAGCCAGACGGCCTTGGAACATTACCGTCAGGACCGGATTTATAGTGCAACGCTTGGCTGCTGCTGAATGGAGGTATGTTAATTGCGTCACTTGCCATACCTTATGGAGAAAAACGTGTTTCTTTCCCAGTAATTCAGCTGCAGAAAATTGAGCGAAGTAAAAGATACTTTCAGCGATTTAAATATGCTAAGTGAAGTGATGCATATTATTTGTCGAACTTTCTCACTACAGTTTCATGTTCAACAAAACCTGATGAAAAGGTCCGATTGGCGATTCGCAACACCAAACCAACAATATTTTATTCAAGTCAAAGTAGTAAAGGTCACTGAGTTCAGAATCAGATAGTTCAACCCTAGACTTCCCAGTCATAGCAACAGCCTCACGCAGATGATCTGACGATCGTTGCAAAATGTTTACTGATCAGCAACCCGTTCTTTCGTGCCAGCAGTCATAAGAGTTCTTAGCCGTTATATAACCCAGTAATACATTTCGTATCACACAGTTATATCACCTACTTAAGTGTTTCATAAGTGTTTCAGCGCACATGAAATGGGAGCTCGTAGCTTGAAGAACTTGTTCAATTCGCACAATCGTCGGTCGTACTCGTGTCGTACCCCCTCCCCCGCCCCGCCCGGCAGCAGTCGGGGGGCTTGTTTATTGCTCCTCAAACGCCGGCAGGGCGGAGTAGCAGCCCAACGAGGGCAGAGGTCATATGACCACCCGGTGACACAGCCGAGCCATACGGCATACCCCCTCACCCCCCCCCCCCCTCCCGGCTCGGGGGACCACCACTGGCGCCATTCCGGAAAACTGCATATCAGAAATGTGGATTGCCAGCCATTTGCGGCCATACAGTACGATCAAATAGTCGTAAGGTGGGGACGGAGTACCAATTCAAACAGCCGCATCGTTCATCATTTCACCACATGAGGAGTCGTATTATCGATATGGGGAGCAAATGGCGAGCAATCGCTTAATTGAGACAAACTAAAGATATTAGGTGTGAGATCGATGACCGCTCAATAGCTATTCACAATATGCAGGACGCGCGGCAATGATTCCTTCATGGACGCAAGTAAACAATTATTCCTTTGACCTGGTACGACCTCATCTTGCACCTCTTGGATCGATTTTCTCATGTCATGTGAATATACAAATGCAGTGCGAATCCCCAACCAATAGATGCTTTGAATACCAAACTGAAGCTAAACATGCCAAGTATGTACAGGTCTCGCGGGTTTTAGCGGTAGGTTTTGCACCTACAAAATTTAGTGTACTTCAGGCTATATCTTCGTCGTCTTAAGCGTTTGAGTGTTAAAGATGCGATCGACTTGTTGGGTAACAAGCCGGCCATGATCGTGTAAAATGGCTTCATCGTAGATTGATTAGTCTCTGAGATATAACCGGAAATGTAAAAGTGCAAAACCTACCGCTTAATCTCGCTAGAGCCGTACCTACGAACGGACTTCAGTCTTTAGACGGACGTCGGACATTGATTGAACTCGCATTATGAAACCGGTACCATCAGTTCGCAGAATACCCATCTCTATATCTGGGATTGAAAACGATCAAAGCCTTGTCCAATCAATGACCATTGCTAAAATGCAGGCATCGGTAGGATTGTGATTGCAGGATTGCAAAATCCTGATTGCATTCCTTTTTGGTGGATTGCACCTGGATTTGAAATCCATTCCAAAAAACAGGATTTGATTGCGGATTGGACTGCATCATACTTCCAATTTTTGCAATCCAATCCGGATTGTGTTTGATTAGTGCTTTGAAATGGTTTGTTGCGATTGAAAATTATGAGATCGGCTTCATTGGCTTAATGTACTTTGCTATCAAGGGCTTTACATCGAAACTTGAAATAATTTAAACGCTTTTAATTTAAACGCTCAAAATAATATACGCTGATGAACTACATAGGAAGGGCAAAATTACGTATTTGAGGGTGAGTTTTAAAAATATAAAACATTGGTTGGGTAGAGGTTTAAATGTGGGGGTGTTTGAGGCAAAAAATATTTCCCATACAATACCTGTGCCTTAGATAGGAATTACTCGCAAGACTAGGTACTAGAAATGGGTGATTTGGGGATGGAGGCACGGCCCTATGCCCCCCTCCCTCCCCCAGATTCACTAGTGCACATAATAATACAACAGGATTGCAAAAAAGGATTGCGGATTTGATCACAATCCAAGTGAAAAAAGGGGATTGCGGGTAGGAATGCAATCCACTTCGGCACTAGGAATGTGGATTGGGAATGCAATCCTTTCAAAAAGGATTTTATTACATGGCTCCTGTGTTAATTTGGCATGAGATATTTTTTACTATTGCCCGGCATCAGGTTACTGACCTTTCAGTGTCAGGTTACTGACCTTTCTGAAGGTGAGAAGCGGTTGCCATGTCAACGGTCAATAGTAAGTTGCTCGCGCAGTGGTGTTTGAACAAAAATTCAAATGTCGTAATTTTATCGTCGTTTTCTCAGACTGTTCAGTTTGATTTCGTGATTGGCTAGTCAAGTCATCAAGAACTGGGCCGTCATTTGAACATGTCCGTTCAAATACCTCGATTTAATTTGTTAGAGCCGCATGAATTGGATGAGCTATTTTCATCGCGCAGGGCTCAGGGCACTAAAAAGGTGATTAAATCAGCAGAAGACGTCTTCATTGAGTTCTTGCAAGTAAAAGGCATATCTGTTGAAAGCTGCATGCACAGCAACGATGTCCTGGACAACGCTGTGAAGGAGTTATTCATTACTGTAAAACGCAAGGACGGTGAACGCTACAAATCGAAGAGTCTCCACACTCTCAAGTACGGCGTGAACCAGTACCTGTTGACGTCGATGGGAAAGGATATCAGCGATGAAGGGAACTTCCCACTCGGCGCATCTTCAACTTTAACATGTAAAGCAACAAAGTGTGTGCCGTAGACATGTGACGTGGCTATGATTGTATATCCAATACATTCAATTGTACCATGATATTTGTGTTTGGATATTTTTTATTACGGGATGAATGAGTACTAAGTAAAGATTCCGAGAGTTGGCCATGTAATAAAACGAATACTGCATGGGGGAGCGGGCAATAGCAAAAATATTGCCCTCTGTAACGTCACTGTCACCCTCGGGTGAAGACCTCCACAAGTGCTATTGCCCTCGGCTTCGCCTCGGGCAATAGCATTTGTTTCGGTCTTCACCCTCGGGCGACAGTGACGTCACATCGGGCAATATTTTTTGCTATTGCCCGCTCCCCCATGCAGTATTCGTATATTGCTCATGCCTGCTAAAATGACGAATGCAAATTGCAATATTATAAGGCTAGCGCCTAGCTCGTGGGATAGAAGAGGTTCTACTGGCGATCGGGAGAAGCTCAGCTTCGTAAAACGGCCGACAGTTGACGCCACCGCATGCTTCATTGTGCTCCCGAGGGGTTACGGACAAAAGTACGTATTGCTAAAGTACGTAGGACAAAAGTACGTAAGCAAAAGTACGTAGGATTAAAGTACGTATCGCAGAAGTACGTACAGTATAAAGTACGTACGGACAAAAGTACGTCAGGGACAAAAGTACGTATCGCAGAAGTACGTACAATATAAAGTACGTATGGACAAAGGTACGTCAAGGACAAAAGTACGTATCGCAGAAGTACGTACAGTATAAAGTACGTATGGACAAAAGTACGTCAGGGACAAAAGTACGTATCGCAGAAGTACGTACTGTATAAAGTACGTATGGACAAAAGTACGTCAGGGACAAAAGTACGTATCGCAGAAGTACGTAGGGTATAAAGTACGTATGGACAAAAGTACGTCACGGACAAAAGTACGTATAGCTAATGAACGTAGGGTAAAAAGTACGTATAGACAAAAGTACGTCACGGACAAAAGTACGTATCGCAGAAGTACGTACGTAGGGTATAAAGTACGTATGGAGAAAAGTACGTCACGTACAAAAGCCTACGCATAGCAAATGTACGTAGGGTATAAAGTAGGGTGGCCTTGGGCAAGACGCCCCAAATAATTTGTTTTGCTACATAGGTACCTTCTTTTGTCTCACATCACCTGGAAGGCCAAATTTGTGCTCAATATGTTCTTTGGACATTTATTTTAAATTCCACCCCTCAAATTCATTCACTTATGATCGGACTCCCAGCTAGGAAGTGATTTGTGAAGCAACTGCAAATGGGGCATTTTGCCCCAAACCCAGGGCAAAACGCCCCACGGCCTGAGGCAAGAAGCCCCATACACTAGATTAAAGATTGAACATGGTAGTTGGCTAAATCTTACATGAGAGGTCCGTTAGACCGCTGGAGGCATGGCATTGAAGGTAATACCTTCCATCCTATCAAGTGTTCAGCTATGACACTATTGTATGACCAGGTTTTTCACCTGCCTCATAAGGCCAAATAATAAATTATTGCAATGCAAATCAGTTAACAATATACTTCTTTTGCCATACAGTTGCTGAGAAAAATACATATGAATGCATAGAAACTTGTTGTTCGCCAGCTACCGAACATTAGGAAGTGGATAGTCCGAACAACACATGAGGTATTGAAACGCCCCACGGGGCTTTTTGCCCCGCGACCTACTGGGGCGTTTTACCCCATCACGTAGTTCGGTCAGCGAACAACGCCTTGCGCTCCAGCAAGACATAATTTATTACGAACCAACCCGGCATCATAAGCGTTAGACAACAGTTGTTCAAAATACATAGAAGTTGTTAACCTGATGTGGACCACAAAAGAACGCGATTATGTATAATCAGACAACCAAACATAAAAATCACTCAACAAACACATTTTTGGCTATATCTCCCTAGAGAATTATCACAATTTCTTTCCAGTCTGCCCATATAATGATCATATAGTGCACATTTAACAGAAGAGAGGATCTTTCCCCAGAACCCTGCCAGTTCCGAGAAACATCGGTGAGGCGTTTTACCTCGGCGGGGCGACTTGCCCCGGTCTACCCTACGTGTGGACAAAAGTACGTCACGGACAAAAGTACGTAGGGGAGAACGGGGCGATTAGGCCGCCCTTTTGTAAAAACGATATTTTGATAAAACCAGTGCGCGTTTGGTCGACTTCTCCATGGAGGGGTGTGGGGCGTTCAATTGTTGTTCCGGCCTGTTACTTGCATCATGTCGGGACACCTCGTTTCGGTAGCAATTAACCGTTCTTTCAAAGACTGCACGGCGGCCAAATGACCCCGGTACCGGGGTCATTTGGCCGGGGAGTGGGGTCATTTGGCCGGGCATGTGATTCAGAGATATACCCATTACAGAGCTGAGACAACCTGAAATATTGACGCCCAAGATTGTGCTTAACTCATGAATTCTGGATTGACTCGACGCATGACTGATGTGACGATCCAGACGCCCCAATGCTGACACAAATGATGAACATCGTGACTCATCTTTGATTCGCCTGAAATCCTTAATTTTTCCAAAGACTAAGGCTTGCACTCGATTCATTTGAATCAGTGCAAGTGAGGAGCCACATTTGATTTACGAGCTTACGACTCATGAGTTGAGCACTGCCCAGTGATAACAAGAGCCAACTGTAATGGCTGCCAAATCGTAGATTGCTTTAGACGACAATCACACTGCAAAAAAGTCATTTGTGCACGAGTTGTTTGTTTATTTCAAACTCTGTCGTAAACATGAAATAAAAACGATTCCAGCAGGTCCCGTCTTCGACCCAGCACTTAACACGCGCACCGACAGCCCCCCCCCCCCCCCGCGGATATCGGCGGGCGGAGGCGGGCGGATATCCGCCCGCCCCCCCCCCCCCCCCGTCGGAGTTATTGGCGGCATGGACACATGTCCAGTCATCACTGCGCTTCACTGTTTTTCGCCTTTGCGCCCCTGTTTCTTCGACGGTCCAGCTCCCAACGTTCGATGGTTCGACGGTCCAGCTTGTGGACCCCGCTTTTTGCTCCTCGCAATACGTGCCTGTTGCTCGCCCTCCAAAGCCGTCCGCTCCGGGCTGTTAGTCATGATTTTAGAACGCCCTTTCTTCCGACCGGCTTTTCGAACGTTGATGCGCAGCTGCGGAAGTGGTCGGATCCGGATAGGCTCTGGGCTTCCGACAAGCAACTAAGACACGGCGACAGCAGGCGGCTGGAGCACGGCCGCGGCAGGCAGCTGGAGCACGGCCGGCCCCGGGGCTGGCGGCTGGAGCACAGCCGCGGCAGGCGGCTGGAGCACGGCCGAGGCTGGCGGCTGGAGCACGGCCGGGGCCGCGGCGTGCTGATCTGCCGTCGCTGGGGCGACGACCGGTGCGAAGACCGCCGGCGGCGCAGTCTTCGTCGTCGAAGATATCCCGGTTGAGCGGCGATATCCCGGCTGCTTCGAATCCCTTAACCCTATTCCTGGCGGGCTCCGCCGGGACAAGAAACTGGCGGGGGGGGGGGGCGATTCGGCCCCCCTTCAGATCTCAAAAACTACACATCGCAGCGACAAACGGCGAACGGCGTTTGATAGGTCGTTTAAAGAACTACAACTTTTACATAAAACATTTTCAGGTCAGGTCAATATTGAGGTCACCAGAGGTCATCAACGATAAAATGTTTTGGAATTAGTTACCTATATAACTTTTAAACTAAGAAACATAGAGACATAAAACCAATACATTTTTTTTGTTGCTCTCGCCGAGGCGATGCGAAATAAGTATGTGATGACCTTCACAGGTCAATTTAAAATTTGACCTGAGGTCAAGGTCAGGTCATTCATCAATGAGGTTGTGGGGTATGGTCATGCTGCATACCAAACGACGCGCCTTGACCAGGCGAGCAGTTTGGTACCACTTACAAGTCTTTAGCACCATCATGTCGTGATTTATTGACAGAAAAACGATTTATGACGTCACATGACCTCAGATGACCTTTGCCGGTGCCCCTGTCAATTAGCGGCACCAGGATCATCACCGATGAGATAATCTTCCATAATACTGAAAGAACTGGGTGGTTTTGACTCGTTTACACGAAGCAGGAGGCGTTTCAATATTTTCCCATAGGCTTACAATGTAAAGGTCACGAGTCTGGCCTGACCTCAGGTCACAGATATGAAAATTCTGAGATATACAAATTGCACATACTGGTACCCTAACTAAAGCCTGAAGAGAAGAAATTGATCGGTCAAAAACTCTAGCTCTGGCGTGATTGCAAACTTTTCTGAGGTAGGGTCACCAAACCGCCTCTGGTGACCTGACCTAAGGTCAGATCAACTCAAAATTTTCAGAAATGTTGCGTAAAAGCCTTTTAGAAAAGTCAGAAAATTTGAGCTTCCTAGCTCAAAGCGTTTGGGAGATATAACCAAAAAACCCTCAGGGGGGGGGGGGGGCTCCTGAGGCCCCCCCCCCGCCAGGAATAGGGTTAAGGATGTTCTTCCGCGTGAAGGTGGCGTCTTAGGCACGACGAAAAATCGGCGCCACCTGGAAGAGGTCGATGTGACGTCCCGGGTTCACCATCTGCCGCCGGGTGCCGAAAGCCAATCAGCGGACACCTTGGTTAGGTCGTCCCTTGCATTTAGACTGCGCCGCATTACCATCCTCAGTCGCAGAACTTAGCCAGCGCAGCGCATCGCTCGCAGACTAGGCAAAAAATCAACTGAGTCGCTGGGCGGCCAATTCGCCCCGTATGGGGCGGCCAATTTACCCCAATATGACATTTTTAGGAAAAGGGGTCCGCAGACAAGCAAAAATTGTTACTTAAACTCGCAAAAGGGTCAGACAGCTCCCTGAATTACCAGATTGTTCTACCAATAGAGTTAAAATTTTGATCTCACCCAAATAAGGGACACCATGCAACTTTTCGTAAAGAAGAAAAAGTTACGTTTTTTAGCCAAAATTCAAATATCGTTGGCTTTACAAAAAACTGGGCGTCGCCGAGTTTCCTTAGTTTCTTTCCAAAGTAGTTCTTATGACGGCGGATGAAGTCATATTAAAAAATAATCGCTCGGGGCCGTCAAAACGCGTAGGCATGGGGCGGCCAAAGTGACCCGGGCGGCCAAATGACCCCGCTCTCCCCTATAGCAAATGCACGTAGGGCATCAAGTAGGTATAGTACGTACCTACCCCACCCTTGGGTTAAGTTGATCAACGTATAATACCTTTCTTAGTCTTTATTTAATGAGCATTTGTTACAAGGCATAGCAAAGCTTCTCGATGAGTAAATGGGCGAAATGGACAAAGCTATATTATTTGGTATATGAATTTATCATGAGTTCCCTGTTAGTATGGCAACAGAGCAGCAATAAAGAAAAAGTGGCTCGACTTACGCTACTATACCCTACTTCTAGCATACGTACTTTCTACACTACGTACTTTGGAATACGAACCGTACGTACTTTTGGCATACGTACTTTTCACATACGTACTTCTGCATACGAACATTTGCGTACGTACTTTTGGCATACGTACTTTATACACTACGTACTTTTGCATACGTACTTTTGCGTACGAACATTTGCGTACGTACTTTTGGCATACGTATTTTATACACTACGTACTTTTGCATACGAACTTTTGCGTACGAACATTTGCGTACGTACTTTTGACATACGTACATTTTACACTACGTACTTTTGCATACGTACTTTTGCGTACGAACATTTGCGTACGTACTTTTGGCATACGTACTTTATGCACTACGTACTTTTTCATACGTACTTTTGCGTACGAACATTTGCGTACGTACTTTTGACATACGTACTTTATGCACTACGTACTTTTGCATACGTACTTTTGCGTACGAACATTTGCGTACGTACTTTTGGCATACGAACTTTATCGCCTACGTATATTTGCGTACGAACATTTGCATACGTACTTTTGTCCTACGTACTTTAGCGATACGTACTTTAGTCCTAAAATCGCTCCCGAGAGACGGCAGACGAAAGGCATGACGAAAACTACGAACACAAACGTATATTCCTAGTGTACCAGTAACTACAGCGTCTCGTTTCTACATGCTAATAGAAATCGGTTGGTTATGACTGACCTGTACACCGATCCCAGCTGAATCTGGTTGAAGGAATCCACCTTGATGAGAAGGCCCTTGTGAATGTCATAGTGTAGGCCGCGCACGGCGAAATCCGGCAAATAACGGAGATTTTCTATGTCCTTGGGATACTGGAAACGGGCAAATAAATCACTTACAATTTATAATGACATAAGCACAAAGAAGCATGCACACCCAAATCAACATATGTAACAAGAACATCCTAACTTTAGAGGAATGACAATGAATGCTCACCAGGTCAACATGAGAATATTGTTACTGAAATGTGCTATATATACACAATACAGTATGCACAAATGATTAACAAAAGTGGAAAATATCAAAAAGAATACACACTGAAACACAGGCAGCACTCTTGAACATAGATATTGCATTTAGCATACGTTAGGGTGCAGGCCCCGTGTAAAGGCGGACATTTGGCCAGATGGGGATTAGAAGAAAAAAAAACATGTTCTTGATATTATCAAGAGCTTTGGAAACTGCATACGTTCCATGCGCTTATGAGACATTTGTTGCGCAATGTGTCCTCCCTGTATATTGCCGCCAATTTCTCGGGATTTCCAGCGGTTCAAACTTTTCTTCTGGTTTTTCAGGCAATTGCCTGGGTTTCCGTTATTTGAAAAAGGTGTTTAATCCCCCGATCAATCTAGTGGAAGGGGTGAGTCGGCCAGTAATGTCGAGGTAAGCCACCAATTAAGTGCAGCATGCTCTTGAGTCTTCATGTACTAGATTGAGATGCTTTTTATTTCCGAGTATAATTATAGCCCCATTAGTGTGACATCGTTCCTCACTTGTTGCAACAAAATTTGTTACTTCTTTATCCATTCATATTCTTTTCCTAAAGCTGCTGTGATTTTTTTCGCAACTTGTTAGGTCACAACCCTTTCACTAAGCCTTTACGCAAGCCCTTCGTAACCCTTTCGCAGCCTTTTCATAACTTATTCGAAACAATTCTTTCGTAAACTCATGGTAACCCTTTCTCAGCCTTTTATTAGTTTATTCAGAGTAACCCTTTCATAACTTACTTTTAACTATGTGCAATATTTTCATAGCTCATTCAAAATAACCATTTCGTAAATTATTTGCAACCCTTTCGCGACATTTTCCTGACTCATTCGAAAAGGCTTTTCATTAACTTATTGTAACCCTTTCACAGCCCTTTCATATTTCATTCAAAGCAAATTTCTCATAAATTATTTGTGACCCTCTCACAACTTTTTCACATCTCATTCGTAAAATCTCTTCATTAACTCATTGTAACTCTTTCGGAACCTTTTCGTAACTCTTTTGAAGGAACCCTTTTGCAAATTCTTCATCAATCTTTCACAGCCTTTACATAACTCATTTCAAACAACACTTTTGTTAACTTGTTGGAACCCTTTCGCAAAATTTTCATAACTCATTCACAGTGTCCCAAAATTTGTCAATTTGGGTGGAACAAGACATCCAAATGAAAATAATTTTCCACTCCCACCTCCAACTTTCAAGAGCAATTTACCACTCATGAAAGAGCATCTGCTTGCATGATCGCATCAGATTCTGCCATTGTACAGAAAAGTGTGCAATTTTTCCTTCTTCTGTTCTTTATTTTTTTATTTTTTTTGGGGGGGCTAACCTTATCAAGAATATACCACCCTCATCCCTTTTTTTGGAGAGGAATTTTCCCCTCTAACACCCAAGCATTAATATAATTTTGTGACACTGCAGTCATTCGACACTGCCCTTTTGTAAATTATTTGGAACCCTTTCACAACATTTTCATAACTTGTTTGAAGTGATTCTTTCATAACTACCTTTGACATCAGCTTCCCAAGTATGTATTGATCTTCCCTTTTTAACATTGATGTAACAAGTAGTGCCTACTAAATTTATTAGTATGCCATTACCACCCAATGTCATTACAACATGCTGCTGAAATCAGAACATGTGTCACTCATGTGCAGTTTCAAGAATTGTTGTGGTGGCTCTGCAGTCTGCAACCCACTTCATTAAACGGCTGCTTGTTACCTCCTCAGATAATAGGCATATGCTTCTAACCTGCATATATTAATTCAGGCTGCTTTGAAAAATGCCTTTCTTTGAAATTGGTATCCCATTTGTCAAGTACCTAGATAATATGCTCTTTTTCTGGGCTGATTCATAGTAGTGACAGTGTCAGTTATCAGTTTGTATTTATTGTTTTACAAATTATAATATTACCATCAGGCTGCTCACGCATGAGTGTGAAGTTTCACTGGTGGGGACCGAAATTCCTCATAATATCTATTTACCTAGGGCTAAGGGGTTTTGAATATGAGCCTTCTGGTGAATGACAGTGACACTGAAGAAAATGTTTTTGTGACAATTTGGCTTCTCTTTCCAGATGAGTGCGACACCTACGTGCATCAACGTTAAGTGGACCTAAAGGACATCGTCAGCACCGAGATTTGCCAGCTGGAAACGCAGTCTGGCTACACGCAATGGAGGCATGCGTACCACTCGTCCTAGACAAAGAAACGTCCTCCGTGCTTCCGACGAACTTCAATCGGCGCGAAATTCCTAAACATCGAGTCACGAGTTTATGCAGAGTAAAATAGCATGCCGAGGAAAAATCACTGTTCGGGACGAAAAGTGGAGTTCAGTAATTTAGATAAAGCCGGCCGTCACAAAATCATATTGTTCTTGTTTTTGCCCTCCTGCCATGGATTTCCTCGGCCTCCAAAGCGGGATGCAGCTGCGACTGCTACTTCTTAAGTGTGTAAAAGTCATGAACCTATAGGACGATAAGTCGTGATCTCGATTAACTTCGCCACGAGGTTGCGAACTTAATGAAAATGTTTCTGTCGGTGTTCTTGTTGTCCATGATCGGCCCGTTTTTTCTTCGTATTCACTTATTTCATGTTTGTGATTTAACTACTGGGCGGGTAGAATATATGCAAGTGTTTGCCCAACAACCTGTTGAAAAACAGGACGGAATGCGACATGCCTTGACGCAGGACGGCCGCCGACTGTTGAAGGCAGCTAAAAATTGTTATGTGACTTGAATTGCGAGCGAATGTGCACCTATCAAAATGTTGGCGCATCAGAATCTGGTGCGTGAGCGTGCGTGTCAAAATGTGTTTATGTGACTGCATTAGATTTGTGATAAATGTATTGATATGCTACTTGCGAAGAATATACATTCTATATTTACGCGACGTTGATTGCGTCAATATGAAGAGATTGAAGATAAAATAACTGGCCCGCACCCTGACAGGTATCTCCCATCGCCGCCATGCCTAGGTAGGTACCTACATGTTTGGATCATGCCTACTGATACTTTGATTAGGTAGTCAATTTTTAAGATTAAGTAAGTTATGTTCAGGTAAGTGAAGTTCTCCAATTTTACTCTTATTTGAAACGTTTAAGTAGCCACATTTGAAAGAAATAGCTTTAGCGTTTTTCCCCTCACCCTAAAAATCATTTTTGCCCGGATAAGGCCTGAGACCGCTATTGCACCCAGTGATTGGCAATGAAGACACGGGGTAAAAGCAGCTTAGGCTAGGCGCAATGGGGGTATGGGTACCATCATTCGAACAGCAATAAATTGCTGTTTGATTATCTACTGGGGCATTAACGTAATATTCAAATTTGACTGAGTTGTAAGCATTGAAATATAGTAAAAGTGTATGTAATATCGACCGATAACGAAAACAATCGCGTCAAAAGTAGCATAAGCCATCACTGACTTGTGACTAATATGCATTTTTAGAAAGCTTACTTTGTGGGCTTTCGTATTCCGGTGGGGCATTTATCGAAGGTGTCATTTATTCATTGATTTTATTAGTTAATTATGGTGATACCACAATTTTGCCTAGTGCTTGCTTATCGAGACACGAGAAAAAAGCAGCTTAGGGTAGGCACCATTGAGGCATGCGTAACATCATTCGAACGGCAATTAATTGATGTTTAATTATCTACTGGGGCATTAACGTAATATTCAAATTTGACTGAGTTGTACGCATTGAAATATAGTAAAAGTGTATGTTATATCGACCGATAACGAAAACAATCGCGTCAAAAGTAGCATAAGCCATCACTGACTTGTGACTAATACACATTTTTAGAAAGCTTACTTTGTGGGCTTACATATTCCGGTGGGGCATTTATGGAATGCGAAATATGTACAATGATATTATTAGTTAATTGAAGTGATGCAATTATTTACTAATCAAATTATCCATTAAAATACCTATTTACATCGCGAGATGTATCATGAAATTAAGCTATAATATGAAATGCATTTTTCTTAAATTTTCAGTAAAGGTTTCGTTGACGCATAACGTATCGTTACTAAATAATTTGAATTAACGTGCGATCCGTTGCGATAGTTCCGACCAGCCGCCGATGGTGGCGCTGGTGTCGCTCCGGCCGTTATGGCCGCGGCCGCCGCCAATCGAGTGTCTTTCATAGTTCCTATTGGTCAAATGTCAACGTACCTTGAATTTTTCCACAAGAGCTTTCTTCCCTAGGTCATAGATCAGATGGTGCATTGAGGGCTTATAGTGAGCAAGAGTGTAGTCATAATCAAAGCCATAAATGCTGACATTTCTCAGATGGATTTCATTGTTAGCAAACACTGCTCTTGGATTGACATCAGGAGGTGGCTTCTTTGCTGAAAACAAGGGTGGTTCATAAGTTATGTTGATCCTGTTTATGTTCTCTAACAAATAAAAAATCACATAGTCTGGCCCAGTGATATTAAGCCAGGTTACAATACCAATGCTGTTACCAGTCACCATGCTCTGCTGCCTTCATTGCAAAATCAATACTCTAACTGTTTTACTAACAAATTTTCCTTTACTTCTGTTCCTTGACAGGACATCAAATCAATGGTGGTAATGCTGAATGCATGATAGGTAGACAAAGGTAGACATTAATTTTATATAAAAAAACAGGGCAAGTGAAACAAATGATAAATTAAGTTGATATCCGTTAATCTAAAATATGAATCTAATAGAGCAACGCATTTCCATGCAAAAATGTAATTAGCTTTGAGTAGCACCTATGCTGATTATCTGTATATAGATGCAAAATTGCCACTAAACACAGGTAGGTAGGTACATACTTACAAAAGCAAAGTCTCTTTGCGGATTCATAAGCCTCCAGGAGATTTCTGTGGCTTTTCACAGAAAGGTGTCTTTGAGCATCGTAGGACTGGAAGGATGTTATCACTCCTAAGCGGCCGAGACGACTGTACTTATAAACAATATTCATTTGGAAGATGTCAGATAAATGAAATGAGCTGAGAGACACAACACGACCAGCGGAATTGCCAAAGCCCAAAAGCTCTTCAACTTCAGTTTTTGGCAAATCAAACGTCAGTGACTCTTATTGAGCACATTGAATAACAAAAATGTTAACGAGCAGAGAACCTTTATAATTTAATCACTACACTTAGGTTCAATTTGAATTACAATTCATGCCAAAACGGCCAAAAGTATTTTGTCTCTTTCGCGCCATATATGCATGCTAAAAATGCGTAGCATTCAGCTGTTGCGAAGTTATGTTACTGCCGCTAGATGACACTACTAGTTACTACACAGAGCACAAGGGCACACTTACCATGGGATTGGGAAGATGATTTTTTTTTTTTGTATTCAAGGAAATCAATGAATCACATTTATTGCTTTCATGTCATCAGCCGTAGCATGTACAGTCTGTCTTAAAAGTAGGTACTGCGCAAAGTAACGGTGGATCTACCAAGCCTAGGACCGAGGAAAGGTCTGCTAAACTTGAGTCACCGCGAAGCAATTGACATCCTTGTCCAGGGGTGTCGATTTTTCAAAATGTTTGGGGGTGCTCAACCCCTGCACCGGGTGAAAGATTGCAGCTTTGCCATGGGGCACAGCCGTACAAGGCAGGGTTGGTTATCCCCATAAGGTACTGGTAATGCCGGGATTTCCACAACATTTCCCAAGGGCAGAACGTTCTTCTTGAGAATCATTCTGCTCGTCCTAGTACTTGGCTACCTTATTACATAAACATCTTTCCGAAAAAAAGTCGTATACTTGCCGGCAGCATGGCAGCAGCCCCGACACCTCTGTAATAAGGTGACAGAAACCAATGACGGCGATTAGCACCGGTGCAGCAGCCGCTGCGGTCCGCAGGGGCGGACATTGCGCGGAGGCAACGGTAGCTACGAGGCTCTGGCGGTAATCAGACGATCCCAATAATGATCGCTGGAAAATGACAGGTGATCGCATTTGGATATTTACGGGTTTACGATTTTCCTCAGTGGCGTAGCCAGGTGGGCCGTGAGGCACGTGCCCCCCCCCCCCCATCAGGTTCGGGCCCAGGGTCCCCTCGGGTTATTCGGGCCTGGGGGGCCCTGAGGCGCCAATTGGCCGCTAAGGGTCAATGTTGGCCATATTTGGACAAGAAGGGATCCACGGGGCTCGTAAAAAAACCCTCATGGGCCCACAAGTACCAACACTAAGATCTCCATAAGGGCCCCAAGCCAGTCTCTGAGGGCCCCTTTGCGGCCTCTGAGGGCCCCTTACCGGCTTCGGATGGCCATATGTCGGACTCTGGGGGTCTTAACCGGCCTATTCCCAACCAGCTAATTTGGTCTTGGCCGTAGTTGGTTTTACTTTGGCTAGCTCCGGCATTTGCTCCGGCTAAAGTACGGGCAAGGTCTGGGGCTCTACTGGAGCTGACACACGATACCGGAGCTCGCCCGCATCACAGCCGGACTTATGCCGCATCAGCCGTGCCGTACCTCCACCATACTTCAGCCACAGTAAGCCAGAGCAGCTATGAGGTGCAGCCGGACCTGGTCGTAGGGAGCCGGACTTGAGCCATGGCAGGGAGCCTGACTTGAGCCAGACTTGGCGGTCCGGAACCATACCAACCCGGGAGCGCTACGGCAAATACTGGCTAGCCGGAATATGTAGAGCCGTATCGACCCAAACCCCGGATCTGACGGCGTTCCGTTTATACCGGTCCAAGTCCGGCATGTCGGAGTTGCCGGGGCAAAACGGACTTGCGCCGAACCAAATTGCTGGCTGGGTAAGGGGGCCAGCTCTAGGATCTCCGCACCCGCCTGTAATGGCCCCACACCCATTTCTCTGAGGGCCCCTATAACGGCGACTGTGAGGGCCCTCACTGACGCCCCTGAGCGCCACACCGGCGTCTCTGAGGCCCTACACCAATGCCTTTAAAATCCCTACATGGGCGGTTCTGAGGGCCCTCGTCAGTTACCAGCGACCCTGACGGTCCCACACAGGTAACTCGGAGGGTCCCAGCGGCGTCTGGGAGCACCATGCAGGTCTCTGAGAACCCCACAAGGCTCCTGAAGGCACCGGTGACCTCTTGATATCTTCTTGTCGGCCTATGAAGGGTCCGTTCCGTAACAGCAGTTCTGAGGGCCACACGCGCGCCTGTGATGGCCCTAAACCAGTGTCTCTGAGAGCCCCCACAACGGCGCCTGTGAGGGCCATCACCGGCAACTGTGAAGCCCCTACACCGGCGCCTCCGAGGGCCATACATTGCCATATCTGAGGGCCCCGCACTAGTGCCTCTTAAGGCCCTATATCGGCGGCTCTGAGGGCCCAACACCGTCGCTTCTGAAGGCCCACAAGTACACATATGACGGCCACCCACCGGTGACATTTGAAGGCCCCACACCGGCGACTCGAGGGCCCCATCGGCGTCTGAGTCCGTGCCGGTCTGTAAAGACGACCCCACAGGGTTTCTGAAGGTACCACCGGCCTCTGATGGCCCTTTGCCGGCCTCTGAGGGCCCGTCGCCGGTCTCTGGAGCCCCCTGCCGACTTGTAAAGGGTACGCGTTATCAGCTCTAAGGGTCAGACACTCGTGTACGACGGACCCACACCAGTGTCTTTGCAACTGAACGTCTTTTTTCGCCCTTCTTCTTAAAGGAAAAGGGCCACCTTCGTGAAACACGAAGATATCGTTGTTTTTCATTTTGACATTATTATTATTCATTTTCTTTTTAAAACTGGTGCCAGAAGTGCACAATTCGCGAAAAAGTATTTAAAACTATTTAACATATTGGTACTATGTTGATACTCTCTACGGCACCTACTGTATGATGGCATAGCGATGACGTCACACTCAAGCCAATCAGCCTTCAGAAGCAGGGGCTCCGCCACGGTTTTGGGATTGGGGGGGGGGTCCGACCAAAAACACAAAACCTCGCTGGCGGATCCAAGGTGGGCATTTTGGGCTAATTCACCCCCACCCCTACCCCCCACCCCCACCCCACCCCCCTGCAGCTCCCGAAATCGATGAAAAATTGCCGTTTTTTCTAGAGTTCAAAGGAAACTTAACAAATCTATCGGGAGGATTTTGCTTTATGAACCGAAAAAAAACAAGGTTCAGTTTGCAAGAGGAGTCGAAAACCGAGAAGCGGAGCTCAATGACACCGACATGGCGGCCTCTCAAATCAACGTTCTTAAGGAAAGGAGGCCGCTGTTGTGCGCTCCAAGGGCGGTGTTAGCCATCAGACAACGCATTAGGCTCTCAGACTAGTATGGTGCTCGAAAGACCGGCTTACCCCCCCCCCCCCCACACACACACTATCGGGTGATCTCACATGGAAAGAGGGTTCTCAGATCGATTTGAAGCTCTTTTGGGGCGGGTGTTGTGTCTAGGAGGTGTCCTGCAAGCTGGACCCCTCTCACGAAATTATTGCCAAATTCTAGCATGCTAAGTTAATCCTAGCAATCTTAAACGCATTCATAGTAATAACAAAATGGTAGAATAATGACACTCCCATAAATATAGGTCGGCGATTGTTGAGCACTTCGTGTGTCACAACATCTTCGTGTTTCCCTACATTTCTAGATCTTAAATTCCTTAGCTTTGCGACCATCAACACATTCTAATTAACCCGCGCCCGGCTGGGGGTCCTGGATTTCCACGCCCTGCTGGGGGGGGGGGTGTTTGAACACCCCCCCTTGTAACTCGGCTCCTGGGCCACGTAGCGATACGCGGAAGGCGGCGTTCGAAAGAGCGTAAAAAATAATGACGAAATCACTTCGGTCAATTTTTTGGTCAGGTCAAAGGTCAGGTCACCAGAGGTCATTGAAGGCAAAATTTCGCCGATTTCCAGGTCGAATGACGAAAATTTCCAAGAAGCCAACGCATAACTCGGGAACCAATAGAGCTACAGCGCCGCGGAAAAGTGCATTCGATAGCCCTATTAACGCCCTTTCTGAGTAATTCACTCAGATTTGACCTAACGTCAACGGTTTTGCCTGCAGGGGGCAAAAACTGCAAAAATAGCCGATTTTTTCGAAAACAGTTTTTCTGCAATAACTTTTGACCCAAGCCTTGTACGAGCTTACTTTCACCGGCATCGTGTTCCTCTCGTCAAGACGCATCGAATGAACTATAACTTGACCTTGAAAGGTCAACTTGAAAATTTGACCTCAGGTCAAGGTCATGACCTGACCGGAAAGGGTCATGTTGCATATCAGTCGATCCGTATCGTCGAGCTGAACACATATAAGGCGTTTTCATCGCTCTAGCATGCCTCTATCAAAAGTTATTTGCGAAAAACTGTTAGATACCATTCGTGACCTAAGATGACCTCAGGGCACAAACAAGGGTCACGGACACCATTTTCATGTTCAGTGTGTCTAAACCACTTGTAATTCGGTGTTTGGGAGTGTTTATAATGTCTTTCGTCCAAAAGAGGCGCATTTCAATTTTCTCCCATTGACTTATAATGGGGAGGTCGCAAAATTGACCTGACCTTAGGTCATCGATATCAAAATTCTGAGATATACATTTTGTACATGCTATTGCTCTTAGCAATCGCTGAAAGTTTCAAAGCGATCGGTCACTCGGTGTGGCTATGACAGACATTGAAACTTTTTATGAGGTGAGGTCACTTCAAGTGACCTGGTGACCTGACCTTGAATGACCTTGGTCTGAAATTTTCACAACATGTGTAGAATTGATGTATGATAGGGTGTACCAAAAACGGCGGCGCTCCGCGCCGCCGTTTTTGAGATATTCGCGAAAAACCACAAGGGGGGGTGTTCAAACACCCCCCCAGCAGGGCGCGGGTTAAATTATTCAACACATTCTGTGAATGATTTAGTCATTCTAACGCAAAACAAGGTTACAGGTATTCGGAATATTGGGGGGTACTGTACCCCCCATGGGAATTATTGAGGGGGTCCGGACCCCCGCGTACCCCCCTGTGGCGGAGCCCCTGTTCAGAAGACAGACTCGTCGGATTGTGTCAGATAAGCTGATTTATTAAAGCTGAGCTGATTGGAGCTGATTGGTAAAAAAACAAAGCCTCGCCGCGGGTGGCTGTATTACAGGATAAGGACGCATTCCTGGGATAAGGACGCATTCCTCTTTTAAAATTGCCGATACCTACGAATGGAGGCCGAAATCGGCTGTAACGAGATATGCTGGGAGGTTTTTGGGACACGGGCTACAAG